GTTTGATGAGCAGACCTGCCGTCTGAGGAAGCAGCAGGCAGAACGTCCTGCAGAGCCGAGGAAGACGAGGAAGATGAGGAAGACGAGGAAGATGAGGAAGACGAGGAAGATGAGGAGCAGCAGCCAAGTCTGTAATGAAACAATCATCTCACACAGTGAAGAAACTCCTCCTCATCATCGTCTTCCTCACAGCTCCTGCCAGCAGCATCACTCGGCTCGGCTGCCAGCGCCTCCAGCAGCCAGATGGTGGACGGGTTCTGCTAACGGGCCTGGAAGAAGCTGCTGGAGGGGTGGGGGGTCTGCTTCATTAGGAGTGTAAAGTGTGGATCCAGCTTTCAGTTAGTTCAGAACCAGAATCCTTCTGGGTCTGCTGTCCGTTTTGTTTCAAACAAGTTTTCAGGAAAATGTCTGAAAAACAGAAACCTGTCTTCCTCCTGAAGGGGGTCTGTTTGAACCCTCTGGGGGTCTCATGAGGTCTTGTGTGTTTGTTGCAGATCATCTCTCAGAGGAAACTGTCCAAAGCTCTGCTCAGACCAGGAGGGACGGTAGGGAAGGCCATCATCACGGTGAGTCCAGCTCTTCATCATCATCATCATCATCATCATCATCATCATCAGCTGCAAAACACAAACATGAAAAACATCAAAGGATTCATTTAAAACAAAAAAACATCCAAAAGCTGCAAAAAACTTTCCAGGAGATAAAACCAGGAGTCCAACGGTCTCACCAGTCTGTCCTGGTTCTGATCCAGTTTAGTCCTGTGGTTCTGCTCAGAAGGTTCTGAGGTTTTTATTCAGTTTGGATCAAAGCTGTTTGTAGTTTTTACAGATAAAAGAAGAGAAAACTTTAGTTTAATTTAATGTTTTTAAAAAGATGAAATAAAAATTATTCTGATTTATTCAGCTGCTGTCAGAGGCTGATGTTCGGGTCGGTTCTGTTCAGACCCGGTTCTGTGATGTTTTAAATTCCGACAGGAAACAGGATTTTCTCTGGTCTCGGTTCTGAGGACTCTGATCCTCTCAGCAGGACGGGCTCTGGCAGAATTGGACCTGGGTCTCAGACTGTAACCTCAGAGTCGGAGGAACCTCGCTGCACACATGAAACGCTTCATGGAGATTTATTTTGAAAGGATTTCTGAGCAGGAAGCTGGAAAAATCCAGGCTTTTATTTTTGTCTGTTTGCTTTTCTTCCTCTGGAGAGACTGAGGTCCAGTCCTGGTGTCAGGAGGTCCTGGTGTCAGGAGGTCCTGGTGTCAGGAGGTCCTGGTGTCAGAAGGTCCTGGTGACAGGAGGTCCTGGTGTCAGGAAGTCCTGGTGTCAGAAGGTCCTGGTGTCAGAAGGTCCTGGTGTCAGGAGGAACTGGTGACAGGAGGTCCTGGTGTCAGGAGGTCCTGGTGTCAGGAGGT